AGGATGACATAATCAATCCCAAGACCAAGAATATAAGACTCTATGTGAAGAGAGTGTTCATTTCAGATGACTTTGATGGAGAATTGGTATAGAAATTTGTTCTTCTTGTTTGGAAGAGATTCATCATGTTTTCATAGCTTCAACCTGTGCTAATTTTATCTTCTTTCAAACAGTTCCCCCGATACCTAAGTTTTGTCAAAGGTGTTGTTGACTCAAATGACCTTCCCCTCAATGTCTCACGGGAAATTCTTCAAGAGAGTCGCATAGTAAGTGGATAGAGTTTGTACCTTTTTTTAATTGCAGAAGTCTCTTTGAAAATGCATGTTGAAAGTTTTCTATACTTGTTTAATTGGTTCCACCCTATTCTTGTAGGTCCGGATTATGAGGAAGCGTCTTGTACGCAAAGCTTTTGACATGATTCTCGGAATATCCCTAAGTGAAAATAGAGAGGTACGTTTTAATTATTAAAATTTCTTCTATGTTGCAGAAGAGATGAATTTTTTAAGATCAATACACAACCCATTATGGAAGATCAAATAAGTTACTCATTACTCATTTATGCATATTTATGACATTTTTGTATTAATCATGTCCATTAATTTTGATCAAACATGGGTTAAATATTCTTATCTTCATGTCTCTACTCTCACCTAAAGCCAATCCTCGCTTGATCCATCTCTATAAATAATACACACACTGATATGTTTTCATAACTCATTCCTTTTTTCATATATGTATTGTCTGTAGAAAGGATATTATGTTTCCTCTCTGTATTTTATGAGTTCCTTTGTCTGTTTAATGCAGGACTATGAGAAGTTCTGGGAGAACTTTGGGAAATATTTGAAAATGGGATGTATTGAAGATCGTGAGAATCATAAACGTATTGCTCCATTGCTTCGGTTTTTCTCATCCCAGAGTGAAGATGAAATGATCAGCTTGGATGAATATGTTGAGAATATGAAACCTGATCAAAAGGATATTTATTTCATTGCTGCTGACAGTGTGACCAGTGCAAAGAACACTCCCTTCTTGGAGAGACTTATGGAGAAAGATCTTGAAGTATGCGCCTGCCTTTGGTCATCAGTCTTATATTTTAAATCAATTTGTGCTCATAGCTGTTATTGTGCTATCACGTCATACAGGTTCTGTATTTGGTGGATCCTATTGACGAGGTTGCCATCCAAAACCTGAAGTCATACAAGGAGAAAAATTTTGTTGACATTAGCAAGGAAGACTTGGATATAGGTTTGTAACTTCAATTTATCACTGTAACAGCTCTTTTAAAAGGGAGAATGCAGCAAATTTTCTTTCCTTTCTCTGTATGATTGATATTTAATATATGTGCGCACACACGTCACTTGGAAAACATTCATTCTAGTCATGCGTAGTAAAATTTCATTTTCCAGAATATTTGCTAGTTAAGTGAATAATCATGTATTAATCTTGGTGTGAATTGGTGGCTTAATTCATTTTGGTTGCTAAACCTTGTTCTTACCACTTCACTTTGGGGTTGGCACACATTCGTGTAGGTGATAAGAATGAGGAAAAGGAAAAGGAGGTGAAGCAAGAATTTGGCCAAACTTGTGATTGGATTAAGAAACGTTTGGGAGATAAAGTTGCAAATGTACAAATCTCGAATCGACTGAGCTCTTCCCCTTGCGTCCTGGTATCAGGGAAATTCGGTTGGTCTGCAAACATGGAAAGGTAAGCCCTCTCTTCTTTCAGCTTTGAAATCACATGTTTTGAACAATCAAATTACAGTGTGCCATATGTGATAAAATTTACTGCAGACTCATGAAGGCGCAAACTATGGGTGATACTGCCAGCTTGGAATTTATGAGAAGCAGAAGGGTGTTTGAGATCAACCCTAATCACCCTATTATCAGGAATTTAAATGTATGATGAATTGAGAATTCTCACATTTTTTGGTCCACTCTTGTAAATAATGGATTTAATTTCTTCCATTTGTTGAAAATCACAATTATGATAAATTAATACTGGTTTTCAGGCTGCGTCCAAATCAAACCCTGATGACCAAGATGCCCTTAAAACTATTGATCTCCTTTATGATGCAGCGTTGGTTTCCAGTGGTTTTACGGTGAGTTAAAGGCTTCATATCTTTGCTCTGAAATGATGTTTCACTATACATACTTGATGACATATTTTTCAACATTCGACCTTGCTGGATTCTGTTTTGAGCCAATATCTCCCTCTTTGGTGTGCAGCCTGAGAATCCAGCTCAGCTGGGAGGAAGGATATATGAGATGATGGGGATGGCTATCACTGGCAAGTGGTCAAGTCCCGGTCAGGTTCAGTACACAGGCACGCAGCCCCATGCTCCTGAAACTGTAGAAGCTGAGGTGGTGGAACCGGCCGAGGTTGGCAGCCAGAAGTGAGAACTGCGATAGAAGTTTAGTTTTAACTTCTCATCACAACAATGTACCAGAACCATAGCATTGTAGTTTAACCGTATCCTAAGGATTTTCCGGTTTAATATATTCCTGAGCATATTTGAGCTCATCAGCTTGCTTTCTTGAATTAATCGTCATTTGTATGAAAATTTGATTATTTTCTCGCCGGGTTCTTGTTTTCCTGGCGTCACGTTAAAATTGCCAAACTTAAAATACGTAAATACCTCCGTCCTTTGTAATAAAGTTCAACACTGCTCAGCCGATCGGCGATAAAGGGGGGTGATGGAGATCTGTGTGGGCCTGAAGTGGAAAGATATTTTGGGTATGCCCATGTTAGTTTGCTCCTTCTATTTGGGTTGCGTATTCATATTTTTGTCCCGCCACGTAAGGAGCAATCTCCTCGTAGGGTTCGAATTGGGGCGAATCCGCTAACCTTCCAAAATAGGCGGGCTGGGGGGAACAAATTGACCCATTGAAATGGGTCGCTCTTCTAGCATCTGGGTTAACGGCCTGCTTGGATTCGTTAGATTAATACTGTTTTTAGTTATTAAAAATTGATTTTGAAATTTTAAATAAGTAATTTTAATTTCTAAAATTTAACCCTATTTTGATTTTGGTCTACCTTCAGATTTTTGGTCTTTGAAATAAGAAGCAAAATAAAAAATAAGGTTAAATTTCAGGAGCCAAAACTATTTGTTTCAAATTTTGAAGATTAAAATTAAAATGAAATCAAATTTTGGGAATAAAAATTATTAGGTTTAATTTATGAATTAAAATCAAAATAGGGTCATTAAAAATAATATGAATCCGTATTTTTTTATCTTAAGTTTTGCAAACAAGTTGTGATGGAAGTTAACAGGTATAATGTGATTTATATTTAGATAAATTTTATTTTAAAAAAATTTAATATAAGTTCGTATTGATGATATATTGAAATTTTAGAAGATCTAAATATAAAAACGATGGGCCCCAAAAAGTGTTGCATTAATTTTGGCAAAAAGTCAATTGATACCTAAAAATCATGTTTTTTTTTTTTTCATCGAGCTAACTTCTTTTTGGTTAGTCCCAACTAATCCATGAGGCTTCCTAAGGTGTCGTCAAACAAGCTCTTAAGGGCATGTTTGGATAGTGGTTTGAAACAATAAAAGTGTCGTGGAATTTGTGAAACTCAGGTTTGTAGTTTTTTAAAGCATTGTGGTTGTTTGGGTGGGCTTCTAGCCCAACCAACTTTTATTCCAAAAGTCAGTTATGTTCCAATGCTAATGAGAGTTACTTTTGAAGTGTTGAGAGGTTACAAAAGCCAATCTACCGTTACATATATTTATTTACCTAGATTTGCCCTTCTCTTTCTGCTCTTTTAAGCTTGTCGAACTTGAAGAAGAATCGAAGTAACTTAGTGGCCTCTCTCTCTCTCATCTCTGACTTGAAGAAAGGTTCAACAGCATGAACCGGCCCCCATCTCTAGTATCTTTGGACAGCCCATCAAGCCCACCTTATAGAAAAAAAGACGACCAGAAGCTCTCACCTTCTCCACTCTTTTTTCCAGCTTCGCTTGCAGTCCTCTAGTTGAAGAAAACGACAAAGAACAATGCACCCCAAACTAGTGAATAAAGATATGAATAGTGAAAATTTGCACGCTAGGTGTTTCTTGTGTGGCTCCTCACAATTCTCTAATCTAATGAGAAAGGAAAAGATACAAATAGAAGGAAAAAAAAATAAAAGAAATATAAAATTAAGACAAAGCAAAGTATTAAAAGAATTACTCAATGAGTGATTGGTTTAAAATATTTATATTTATAGTTTTTTAAAAGTAATTTGTCTCATTTATAAATTAGTATAAAATATAATGATATATATAAATATTTCATATAAATCGTATAATATATGTTATAATTAAATAATTTATTAGTTTTTTCAAATTAATTATATGAGTCGAATATTAAAGATTAAGGGTAGTATATTATTTTTAACACATTAAAACAATTTTTAATTCTCACATTCCTCTTAAAATTATCATATGTGTATATATATTATTTAATAAAGTTTATATTTTTTTCAATCATTTTACATCTAAACTATTTTTATTTTATCATAATAATTTTAGGTATTATTTTCTTTAACTATTATCATATTAAAAATATAAAATATCAAACACTACTATTCAATAAAGTCCATACTCTTTTTAGTCATTTTACAATTAAACTCACTTTTTTATTAATTATTCAAACAAATTTTAACTTTTCCAACTGACTTTTTATAAGCACCTGTCCAAATATAAATCATATTATACTAATTGACTTTAACTCTGGGGTGTTTGGGAAATAAGAGAAGTGCTTTTTAAAAACACTTTTTTACAAATCGAGATAAACCCCTCCACATATTTGCGTTGTATATCATAAGATCACTTCTAAAAAACTATGATTTGATTTCTATACAAACACCCCTTCTAACTTTAATTACAAAAATCAGTTAAACTGGAAATTAGTTTTCCTAATCCTAACACACCCAAAAATGCCTTGAATCAAAATGCAGCCTTGGTAATGGCATTTGATTTTCTGGACTACAATTTTAGAGCCACAACCTTGCGACACACCACTTACCCTGCGAGCTGCGTTTTATCATTTGCTGGAAACGACTGCACTTACCGGCGGCGGAGGCGCAGTGGATAGTAAATTCAGCGGAGAGCCGCTGAGCCCGATGTGTACAACGGCGTATCTTTGGTCGAAAAGAGGACTTCGGTTTTTCCCGACTCGACTCATGTCGTCGTTGGTGCGAACTTGTCCTGCAAGTGTTGACATCGCAGGTTGAGAGACTCGACGGGGAACAGGAGGACGACGCCGTCGACGGTATGCTTTTGTTTCTGCGTTTGAAAGTTTCAATCACTTAACCTTTACTTTATATATGGTGGCTATTAGATTATGGGTTCCATGTGTGCGGATGGCTTTCAAATTGATAATTTGGAATCCTTATTGTATTTGTTATAGGGACTCCAATAACTGAACTCAAAATGAGTTTTTTTTTCCCTTGCCTGGTTTCGGTTGCAGTTCGAGTGTGATATAGATTATTATCAAATAATGGGCACTCCGTCGTCGGAAAATGCTGTCTCATCCCTGCCACTTTTGATTCCCGAGAATTCGAACCAAACGTCTTACGCTTCTGAAACCTCTCTCCTTTCCTTCTCATTCCCTCAAGTTTCAGCAAGCCAAACGGTTTCTTCCACTGTCGTGCTCCGTTATGCTTCTTCTCTCTAGCCGCACCGACGAATGGGGTTTCATAAAACGGACGAGTCGTGAAAGACGCACTTTATTGGTACCCATTGTTCTCTCTCTTATAGCTATGTATTTTTTTTTTTTGGTGGGGGGGGGGGGTTTGGCTAATTAGGGTGGCAGTCAAGTAAGAAATTACATCCTCATGCATCTGTTATGGAGGTATGAAACATTGCTGTCTTATTTTGGCAAATTTGGGAGGGTAACTAAGGGTTGGTGATGTTTCATGTATAAGCGTTTCTGAATTATTGCCATGGCCTGTGGATTCGGAATAGATTAAGCTGATGCTTGATGTCCCTTTATACTTATTAATGATAACCGGTGGCAAAGTTCCCTTATAAGCTCATAAATATATCGCATGATTCGAGGGTGGATGTTTGCGTCTTTTGGCTCTAGGTTCTATCGAGAAACTTTGGACCAGGTCTAAGAGGAATTTAATCGATACTTAGGTCCTTGTTCCCACTTGTGTTTAGTCCTGAAATACTTGATAAGGATTCTGTATCCCGGAGCAGGGGATTGAAGAACTTGGAAGTAGAGTTTTATGATCTTAATAGGAATTCAATGGGTCTAACTTGGTTTGGGGTGATTTGGACCATAATTTCTATGGTTTTGGTGCTGCAACTCAGTGAAATTTCCTTTTAATAGTTTGGCTAGGTTTCAAAATGTTTAAAGTATCTAAACAATAACTTAAGGGCCAACGCTTACAAAAAAAATAGTAAACTGGGCAGTTTTGGAAATCAGTGCATTTGAGGCGCAACATGATGGAGTTTTGGTGTGAAATTTGGAAGATTATTATATCTCATATATGGTGGTTTTAGCATACCAATTTTGATGGGAATCCTACTAGAATAACATCTCCAATTGACCTCCCTATATTCAGGTCTTTCTGAATATCAGAAAATTGTATCTCGCTGACATTTCTCTGATGGACAATAACGCGCTCAAAATTTTTTTACTTTTTAGGTGTTATCTAGCCGTGAAATTACATGGTAGATACCAGGCATACATTGCTTCATAATTGGCCTAAGTTTGTTAAAATTTGAGCTATATAGCTCAAATTATGAATTTCCAAATTTAATATGAGATATCATAAATTTTGCAGGAAAAACAGCTTAAGAATGAACTTTGATGAATTTTCTGTACTAACGTAGATGTGATTTGTCTATAAAATTTTTACTTGTTTTCAATACTTATGTCTATCTAGTGAAAATTTGGCAAATTTTACAGCTCTTTTGGTTGGTTAATCGTTTGTTTTCTTAGGGTATGTTCATAGTTGCTGATTGTTGTTTTAGGAAATGATAATATGATTAATAATCAGGCGAGCTCTTTATGTGTTAATGTTCAGGAAGTTCTTCAGAAGCAGAAAAAGGCAGTTAGCTCTTTCTTCACTTTATAAATCTGTGCCGGATGATTTACCACAGTATGTGCATGTCTGCTTTATTCTGATTCATGTTTGTTACCTGTAATTGTTTAGTTTGCATGAGTAATATCTAGGCATTTGGCCATGGGCTTGATAATGTTGGTTAATGCGGACTTACCTGAGTAACTGAAAGCTTTGGTTGATTCTAGATTCCTGAAGCTGCTGATGAGATACTGGTATTGACAAGTATTCTCTTTTTCTTCAGCATTACCGTTTCATCATTGATTTTATAGATTGAATAATTTATTGACTAATGAGATTCGCATCTCACTTCCGAACTCTTATTTTACAGGAAAATCTGGGGAAGGACAGGAAATTCTTTTTATACTTGTTCTCTCTAGTCTCTCATGGCTTTACTATCAAGTCTAATAGGGACTCCTCAATTCAATGGTAAACTCTTCAAGCCTGGTGCTCTATGCTCTCTCATGTCCTTAAAGATCGTCTATTATTCCACCACTCACTCTCATATTCCGTCTGTGGAACCCTCATCTTGCTCTCCTGACAATGCCAAAGATGTCGTGGATTCCCTTATTTCCATCTTTACCAAACAGCCGTTGACACCCAACAGTCCTAGATTAAATCAGCTTGCTCCTAGAATCACCACTCAAGTGGTCGAATCTGTACTGAAAGGTCTCAGGAGTTGGAAAATAGCTCAGATGTTTTTCAATTGGGCCTCAGATCAACATGGATATAAGCATAATTGCTACACCTACAACACCATGGCATCCATCTTGTCTGGCATGCACCAAATTTATCCTCTAAAAGTATTGATTAAGGATATTTTGAATTCACATTGTTCATTTACCCCTGGTGCATTGGGTTTCTTAATTAGATGTTTGGGGAGCGTTGGATTAGTCCAGGAAGCTAGTGAATTGTTTGATGAAATCAAGTTAATGGGTCTTTGTTTTCCCAATATTTATAGCTACAATTGTTTACTGGAAGTTATAGCCAAGTCTGGCTCAATAGATATGATGGAAATGAGGCTGAAAGAGATGAAAAAGTTGGGGTGGCAATTTGATAAACACACATTGACTGCAATCATGCATGCTTGTTGCAATCATGGGAGGTTCGGAGTAGCTTTGAATGTTTTTAATGCAATGCACGAGAGGGGTTGGGTGGATGCACGCATTTATTCTATGCTGATAGTTTCTTTTAGTAAATGGGGCAAGGTGGATAAGGCATTTGAGTTATTGGAAAGAATGGAAAGCCTAGATATCAAATTGAATGAGAAGACGTTTTGCATTTTGATTCATGGGTTCGTGAAGGAGTCCCACGTTGATAAGGCCCTCCAATTGCTTGGTAAAATGCGGAAAGCCGGTTTCATTGCTGCTGTTTCTGTTTATGATGCTCTGATCGGAGGACTATGCAAGAACAAGAAGATTGACAAAGCTTTATGCTTGTACTCAGAAATGAAGGAACTTGATATCCGACCTGATGCTGGAATCCTCACCAAATTGTTATCATGTTCTTCAGATAAAAGTATAATTATGAAGTTACTTGAAGAAATTCCTGAAGGTGTGAATACTAAAATTCTTCTTTTGTTATATAACGCTGCTTTAAATGGTTATTCAAGTGATGGGTTGATGGATGAAGCTTGTCATCTTCTTCAATCAATGATTTGCAACAAATCTGGTATGGTTGATCAGGTAGACATGCCCTTCAAAGTGAAGAAAATGATTTTTCCTGATTCCACTTCCTTTAGTATTGTTATCGATGGCTTACTCAAAAAGGGTGGGTTGGACCTTGCCTTGGGCCTTTTCAATGATATGCAAAGAATTGCATGTAGACCAAATATATTAATTTGTAACAATTTGATCAATGAACTATGCAAAGTCGATAGATTGGATGAAAGCCTTAAGCTTTTGAGAGAGATGAAAGATTTAGGGGTCGAACCAACTCATTTTACCTACAACTCTATATATGGTTGCTTTTGTCAAAGAAAAGATGTATCTGGAGCCATCGCTATACTGAGGGAGATGCGTGCTTGTGGCCATGATCCTTGGATAAAATACACTACCCTTCTTGTAAGGGAGCTTTGTGTGCACAAGATGTCACTAGAAGCATGCCACTTCCTTAGCAACATGGTTCAAGTAGGTTTCCTTCCTGATATAGTTTCCTATACTGCAGCTATACAGGGTTTGATCAACATTCATGAAGTTGATAAAGCATTGGAATTATTCAGGGATTTGTGTTCTCGTGGCTACTGCCCTGATTTAGTTGCTTTTAACATATTGATAAATGGTCTGAGCAAGCTAAACAAACTAACAGAGGTTGAAAGTTTGCTGAATGAGATTGCTGAGAGAGGTCTTTTTCCTTCAGTTGCTACCTACAACATGTTAATAGACAGCAACTGCAAAAATGGATATTTTGATGAGGCTATGCTGCTTTTTTCCAGGATGTCAAGGGAAGGCAGGGAGCCCAGTGTTGTTACATACACGACTATGATGGATGGGTTATGCAAAGCAGGAAAGCCTGATGATGCTCTCGTGGTCTGGAATGAAATGGGAAGAAAAGGCTGTAGGCCAAATAGAATTGCTTTTATGGCACTTATTCATGGTCTTTGCAACTGCTGTAGGCCCACTGAAGCCCTCCAATATTTTCGTGAGATGAAACAGAAAAAATTGGTGGCCGACCAGTATATTCATATGGCATTGCTAAGTGCTTTACTGTGTGATCTTAATTTTCCTGCAGCATTTGAGATTTTGAGAGAGATCGTTGACAGAGGACTTTTCCCCCAAACACATGATGAAAGCTATTTGATTGTAAGAGATGCAGTACAAATATTATCTAAGGACGAGGGAACATCATCTGGCATTCAAGCTCTTATTGAAGAAGGAAAAATTCCAATATCTTGCCTTTCAGTTGTTGGAAATCAAGGTGTACCTTAGCTCATTGTTAAGACAAAAGGAAGTTAATATTTTTCAGGTTCTAGCTATGAGCTGATGGAAGTATTTTGGATTTTGAATGGAGACTTATGCTTATTGTACGAATCTATTATGCTTCCTTAATTCAGAGTCTGGATCTTAGTGGGTCATACGTTTCACGATTTCAATACTAGGGGGTTGAAGTTATCTTCAAACGTAGAGGTTAGCTACTTTTCCTATTAACACTTTTGTGGGTAATATCTATTCAGAGAAGATTTATCTTATCTTTCCTCAGTGTGATTATCATTTTTAAAATAAGCAAGAAGGGAGTTCTAGTGGAGCTGTGCTGTGCGCACTTTGTCAAGATTAGAGGTCGGTTACCATCTGACAAATAATTGGGTTATCAAAAAAGCCACGGAGAGAAGTCAGTGAGTGCTTTCTATGTGTTAACAAAAATAGCAGAATTGATTCTCTGTTGCTTGATTTTAGCCTGATTGGTTGATGCTCATGGTCAATTATGACAGCTAAAATCATGGTTTTCTTAAAAAATATCCAAACACCCTGTACATGCCAAAATCAATTATGAACCCAAAACCAGCCACCTCTTTTTGTGAATTCTTAAAAATACCCAAACACTCTGTACATGCCAAAATCAATTATGAACCCAAAACCAATCACCTCTTCTTGTGGATAGCGACAGCTATGCTATAAAGAGAAGAAGGATCAAATGCATGACTTTAAATGCTTGTAATCCGGATTAAATTCAAAAGTCAATAAAATAGTTCTATCTTAACAGAACTAAAAAATATAGAGGAAATCTAAATAGAATCCATTGATAAATAGCTCAAGCATTAACAACTTGATAAATGGTGAGGCTTAAATTAGATGAGCAGCCTTATTCACAAACACTGATTGCCATTACACTTGATATTCGTGACTTTGATGTGTAATATATACGTTAGTTTCTTGGTAGCCGCAAGGATTTAATAGCCTATCAAAGGGGGCTGTATGAGAATGTCGCTACTTATGCATATCGAGGATTTCAGTTAGCCATTTCTGTGTGATCTCTCTGTTTCTTTATTCTGTCTCTCTTTTTTCCCTCTCCCTCTTTCTTTCTTTCTTCCTTTCTTCTGACTACCACCTTACATTAGACTTGTTTTGAAAGTTCAGTGATGAATTATAATTTATTCCTACATTGTGAGATGGAATGGAAGATTGGGATTAGAGTATATGGTATTTTATAATGAAAGCTGGATTTATCCTAGTGTCTACAGATTGTTTTATGGCAGTGTACTGTTATTTTGCAGGACTGTGGTGTTTTTTGGTTATAGTGGGTTGCAAGAGATGTTAATAAAAGATGAGGATTTCCCCCTTCTATTATGGCCTCCCTGGGGCTTGCAGCTGTTGGTGTCTTTAGAAGGTATCTCTTGTGGATCTTCCAAGGGAATAGAAAGCTCTTTGGTTTTTAGTCTTTGTTTTCTCTCTCTGTTTTTTTCCCTTTTGGTTGGGGGAGGACCGCTAGTCCTCTTTTACTGCATTGCTCTCATATCTAATCAATGAATTGTCTCCCCCCCCCCCCCCCAGTTTCAAGTAGAGCAAGGAAAAATTAGCACATGTCACTTTCTGTTGGAACCTTCCGTTTATAATAATTTATAGTGCAGGTTTGGGATTTCAAACAACGTCAATTTAAATCCAGCTGGGAAATGGGCATTCGATTGTCAAGATCAATTAACATCGCCGTTACAATGACTTTTGCCCATGACTTTATGTTCTTGTGTTTTAGAATTGCTTTGAAATTGAATCTTCGTGGGGTGATCAATATCCTTCAGGTTCGGTTACCATTATAGATGATTAATGTTCTGAATCTTAGACCTGTTTGAAGGTCACATGGATCGTATGACAGTGTCCTTCGGTGAACTTGGTATGTTATCCTGGCACAAATAGATGCAATGCATGTTGATGTCCCTAAGAGGGCATTATCAGGGTCCCCGTAGATATAATAGCTACTGTTTATTCTGATAAAAGTGGTGTATATCTGTGATGAGATTCCTTGTGATAAATTTGTGTAGAACATCTTTCTGATATATATAAATATATATATTCAATATTTTACTGGATCTTCTTGTGGTTATTTGTGGTAGTCAAAATTAAAATTATGAAGCTGAAGCTGGTTTTCCTTTTTTGGTTGGTCATCATGTCATCGGAAATCAAGAGAAATGCCATAATATCAAGACGAGGTATTTCTGAGACGATCCTCTCCATGGTTACAGATTTCAATATTTTGTTATTTTCTATGAAACATCCTGGGGACGCTTTTACAAAACTCCTGGCAATAATGAATTGGAAGACCATTGCATTTGTGAATGAACCATAATTGATGATTTAGAACCCAAATATAAAATAAATGACAAGTTGAATGAAATAATTAGTTTGATTAATCTAAGAGTGGAGATAACCCCCTAATACTGATGCCAAGAAACTTCATTAGGGTGAATTTAGTTATGTATTTGTGATACCTCCTATGTTCCTTTGTAGGTGGAAAAGAGGTTGAGCATATCTGTCTCCTTTGCAGATGAGTTTCAGGTCCAACGTTTTTATGGGCCTGTGAATGTTTCTAAACCCAAGGATGCTGTGGGGTTTTCTACTCAAGGTAGACATATAGCTGATCCAGTTATAATCTCATTGCTGTCTAGAAGCCAGTGGCGAAGCTTGATTAGTCTAGATGTCAGAATCTCTCCACAGCGCCCTTCTCGTGGTATGCAATAGCGTAGCGTGTACTTTCTCAATCCTAACTGTAGGATCTAGTTAGGAGTTAGCTTTGGTCTTAAATTAAGACCTTAATCCATTTAACATGCATATTTACCATTTTTTCCAAATTAATTTATGTAACTTGTAAATTGATATATAACTAAATGGTATATGGGAGTGTTTTTAATCGATAATATCACAGGATTAAGTAATTTATTTAGCTTTAATAAATTCAAATTAATTAGCTCTTACATTAAGAATATGAAGAGTATAACTTTATTTTCTGCTATTTTTTTATGTGAATTATTTCCCTCTGGTTCAGTTTGTTTTTGATGATATAATCATAAATGACCTCTAATTTCTGAACTACCAACGTCAGCATGCCAAAAACATAGGGCCTCCCAGAAAACCTGAAAAAAAGGTTCCATTCTTGTTGCCTTCAGTTCCATCAATTTCTAGGGAGATATTGTTTAGACATAGCAAGTTAAAACAAGCGATGAGGCAGAAATAAATGAGAAGAAAGTAGGCATGGCACCATCTAGATTTCTCTGTCCGCTTAAATCCTCAGCTGAAGGAGACAATTTTAAGCACTCCAGCAGAGTACTGTACGCATTTTTTGTTTGTGTTTTACTTTTGAAAATAGTTTTTATTTATTCTCCTCAAAATGTTACCAGGTAACATATGTGTAATATTTGTGGATTTTCCGTATCAAAGGATTATCTGCATCAACTTTGGATTTGGAGCCTGGAATGGTTAGAATGCTTCAGCTCATGGATAATGTTAATCAGCTAGAACACAAGATACCAGAGTTGATTTGGATATAATGGGTTCGGGATTCTTTCATCCATGAGCTCCTCCATAGTAATAATTGAGTTTCTATGAGCTGTTTGATTTGAAGGCAAAATAAATTATTAGCTATGTGACTAATTTAAAGTGTTTATATTTTTTTTTTCCCTAAACTAATTTGTCTGACTTATAAACAGATAATATAACATATGTTATAATTAAATATATTTTTAGATTTCTTAATCTTTTTAAATTAGTTAAATAGATTTTATATTAAGAAGCGGACAAAAAAGCTTCATATCTGTGTGTGTTAGTTTGATATTTAGAACTTTGCTATTCTGTTTTTGCAAGGTATTCTTTTTCCGTTATCTCACTGACCAACAATGTCTAGGGGCACGTGATTAGTACTTTTAACACCAACAATCAGAGTAAAAGAAAGTAACTGTGAAAAAAGAAAAAACAAAAAGTTGACAACAAAAAATTAGTTATTTATAATTCAAATTCGGTAATTTACAAAAAAAACACAGAAATTTATCATACCAAATAAAAGTGTTTAGATGTGAATGAGTAAATGAAATTAAATGATTTATAACAAAAATTTTATGATTTACAGTCCAAATTTAGTGATTTATAAAAAGCAAATTTAGGGATTTACAAAAAATATGAGAAAGTTTTTAACCTCAAACGTATGCGCTTATGTACAAATGAATTGCATGATTTACAAAACAAAATTTGGTGATTTACAATCAAATTTGGTGATTTACCATACCTATAAAGAAATTCATAACTCAAAATGTTAGTATGTGGGTGTGACTAAACAAGTAGAATTCATTAACTTACAATCAAAATTTGTTTATTTACAACCCAAATTTGGTGATTTATAGGAAATATAAATATTATAAAAAAACATAAGAAAATTCACAACCTTAAATATGTGTTTATATTTCTTATAAATTGCTGAATTTTTATTGTAAATTACTGAATTTTACTTATTTATTTACATTTAGATACTTCCATTTGATATTGTAAATTCTCTTATATTTTTTGTAAATCACTGAATTTTAATTGTAAATTGCTGAATTTTTATTGTAAATTGTGAAATTTTGCTTGTTCATTCACACTTAGATACTTGCATTTTTTGTTGTGAATTTCTTTATATTTTTTGTAAATCACCAAATTTTGGATGTAAATTATTAAATTTTTGTTGTAAATCATGGAATTTTACTTGTTCAATCATACTTCGACACTCGTATTTATTTTGTTATATATATATATATATATATCTGTGTGTGTGTTTGCATTATATAATTAAATGGATTGGTTGGCTTGGTGGTCACATTTTTCTCGGTGTGCCAAGGGATCAAGCCCCCTTGGCCACCTTATTTAAAAAAACAAATTCTTAGGTGACCATAGCTCTGATTATTGGCCACCAACACCTGAGTGGTCGGTGATAGAGATCGGAGTTTTGACAACAATTAATATTTGTTTTTTAAAAAAGTAAAAAGGAGAGGTATTATTATATTTTCACCCTTAAATTTTAATTTTATTTTGGTCCAAGGGATGGATTAAAGTTTTGAAATCTTTTAGAGCTTAATTGATATTAATTAGCTATTGAAGGGGTTTACTGAAATCCTCCCAAAAATCATTACAAGTGGTTTGGAAAAATCATGGGCGAAAAGGGTGTTATGAAGCCGAAAGGGGGGTTGGACCCAATTATTTTTTTTCAATTTATTAATTATTATTATATTATTATATGTTATATTTTATTTAAGAAATTGAAAAAAATGCTTATAATATTTATTTGATGTTTTCAATTAAATATTTTAAGAAAAAACAAATATTTTATTTTATTTTTCATATCATAAAAGAAAAAACATTAAAAATAAAATTTTTATTTTAAAACATTAAATAATTGTTGGTAAACCTGCCAATCCAATAAAGTGGGGTAAGTTTGACTACAAGTCAACCTGCCTGCAAGCGAGCCTTTTGATCTTGTACCGAATAGGCTTAATCTATGGGTTGATTTGTATTATCACTCCTAGATGTTAACTTTAGTGAAAGATGCTAGGTGAGTAGTATGAATTTATTGTCATTTTTTTAATTTTTACATTAGAATTTATTATTCATTTGTTTTGAGGTTTTTTTGGGGTAATTATACTTTTTGTGGAAATGTAACACCCTGCAACTTACTTATCATACTTAGCCTATTTAAGACATAACCACAGTATAAAAGGAACAACCGCATGTAGTCTATACGGCATCATGTTTTGGTTATAAAAGACTTTGCTTACCTTTAGTATGCAATTATGTTAGAAAAGGATTGAACTATTAATATGGTTATAAAAACTCTTCTTGTACCTAACAAACGCAATTATAACAGACCATAAATCACTATTGCAGTAATTAAATCAAAATATCAGAAATACTTATTTACCCAATGAGTGCCATCAATCAAAGAATGATTCCAGGGCCTAAAACTGGGCTTTTATATAAACCAGATCAAACTATAACGTACCAGAAAAAAGGTTTAGTAAACCAGACTTAATGAACGTTGAGGATTAAAACAATAAATGCCCATGTTCTAGGTGAAAAAAAACCAAAAGTGAAACATAAAAGAATTAAATGGTGAGGTGAGGTCACTTTGCCATGTGACTTCCAGCTTCATGCTCTTTCCTTATCAGGACTTCTTTATTGTTCTCATCTATAAAAGTAACAGTGAGACAAACATCTTGGTAACATAAATCCCTACCCACTTGACTTGCTAGCACCCTAAAAAAGTACCAAATGGGACAAACAGTTAAGATAGTCTTTAAACGAATCATTATTCCCTCACAGATAAAAGATAAAACATGTATGAACCAGGAAAATGATCGACAGATAGCATGCCATACGCATGAAACATTACTCATTAAATTAAGTTCGATTCCGGCATTATATCCTCCTTATACCTGCTAACTTAAACCTCTGGGTTGAATCTTACCATGTGACCAGTGACTCCTACAAGTTTCCCTCACATATGATGCAGACCAACTAAAACTGACAGGGCATACACAGGCCATAGACTTCTCCAAGAAAAGAGCATGCTACCCCATTGGGCCTACCGCCTAGTATTCTAGTAGGTATGCTGCCCTTGGGGTATATTGCTTCAAGATACTCTTAGAGTGTTGTAAATAAGGGTTACCCTTCGAAGTGTGAACTATAGTGCGTTGTATGAAAGCGAACCACGTGGTTATACCATATATTCTTATCACAACACCTCATTCTTATAGTATACAGCAAAGTACATAGACATGACATTTCTCATTTAATAATAGTTTGATCATGATAATAGATTCTCCATCCTTAACAATTATTACTACCTACAAGCATAAGTGTTTGATTCATGTTATAAACACATCAGTTGTACAACATACTTCAGCTAGATAAAGTTTATATAGTCATACAAATGTCATGCAGCACTCAACTATACCTGTTGTTGCAATGAACAGGATCTTTCGTCGCATCGAAGATGTCGCTGGGATGATGCTAATGGGCACTTCGTCATGGAGAAACCGTATATCGTGACAATTCAAGGGCCACGTTTTAAGGCAATTCAAGGGAGAAATCTAGAAATCCAATTTTAAGGCTTCTAGTCAATCTTAGAGTCTAAAAAATATAATACTTTCAAACTAATCATCCATACCAAATAAATTACTCTACATACACTTAACAATTCTAATAGTTTTCCATTCATTTTTCTTGTTCCTGTACTTTTTAAAACCTTATCCTGGAGGTTACGTTTTAATTAGTGGTTTTCTTATACCAGCCAGTAAGAGAAATGGGTAAAAGTTTTCATTCGTTGGATTTCCAAAGCAATTATAGAAATCAGCCAAAACATACTATGACATCCTTACAAACACCTATGGTTACCGTGAGTCAAATTATATCATAGAGTTGGTGAACTGTTAAGGATTTACTGGGGGATAACAAAACTCTAGCTAGGGGAAGAGAGCACTGGGAGCTTGTTTAGGCCCAGGTTTAAAAAAGTACTCATTTTACAAAGTTCAACCCTTATACAAGTGGCTTGGGACGGCCTACAGGTTTTTGGCTCATTTAAATTTTTTTAAAGTATATTTTGATATGTATAAAAGCAAAATAATAAAAGGAAAATGACAGTAAAATACCATATGAATTTCAAAAAGACAAATAAGGCACCTGAATAAGCAAAATGACAAATAGGGCACTGGGTACCAATTTGGAATTTAGATTTTTGGCCTAATGACCGAATTGCCCTGATTGTCTCTGAACATTGATCAGTGTATTAATGCGATAGAGAAAGGGAGAAACTGATTTCCTTCTACGAAACTAAATCCAAGTTCCTGCAGTCACCAAAAAGGGTTCTTCGAAATCACATTGCCGCCGTCGTAGGAGTAGATTGCCGTCGTTGAATTCGGTTACCATCGCTGAAATACATTGCCCTGTCTGAAATAACTTGTACTCCCTAAAATTGTCGCCGTCGAAGAGGTCGCTGAAGTATTTGGATTATTCATGAGTGAGTAGAAGTTGATGGCGGGATTTGGATTATTCATTTTTGTGGATGTTTCATGGTGAAATAGGAACAGGATTATTGCATTTGAGGATTCATATTCAGTATTTGGTGAATGATGAAGCAGAAATCAGAAAATAGTGGCAAGCAATTACGTAATGTAATTGCTGTCATATGCTTGTTGGTTTTTGGTAAATCCCATTACATGAATGGTAAATTTTATTATACATGTAGTTAATTATGAAAGTTAATAGTTCAATGTTTATTGTGATGTACTTCAGGTGCACGTTCACTGAATGATTTATTTATGCTTACAAGTTGCTCTTCCGGTGAAAACAGGTTTACAAAACCTATTGAAAAAGTGGTCACTTTCACTATAAAAGTTGTAAATCCCATTATGTGTTTTGTAAAATTCAGCGTGAAATTTTATTGGTGGTGAAAAGTAAGTTACTCATCCCCCGAAAATATGTTGCAAAATCTATTAACAAAGCGGTCACTTTTATCACAAAAGTTGTAAATCCCAGCATATGTTTTGTAAAATTCAACGTAAAATTTTATTGGTTTTTAGAAACAAATTACCCATCCCCTGTTACAAAAGCCATTTAAGAAGTGGTCATTTTCACTATAAAAGTTGTAAATCACACTGTGTGTTTTGTAAAATTCAGCATGAAATTTTATTGGTTTTTAGAAACAAGTTGCTCATCCCCTGA